GGTTTCATTTTATTGGTCATTAAGCCACCAATGAGAAACTTTCTTAATGAGTTATCAAAGCCGCATGGAAACTTGTATCAAATGCTCCAAATAAGATTAACCAATAATGGCAATCTGAGACTCATGGAATTGTTTGTGGATTTGACTCAGAGTGAGACATATTTTCAGACTTTAATCACTCACACTTTGCATCCATTAAATCAGCTGGTGAAAAAAAAAGAGTGAAGAAATGAGATATGGAAACTCTGTGTCTTAAGGAAGAGCCAAGCATTTTCCCTCCTAACCAGAGCATGGCTAAAGGGGAAGCAAAGGAAAAGAGTTTGCCTTCACAGAGTGCTAATTTTTTCCTGAAAGTCTAACAGGCAAGGGACCAATGTCTGAGTCCTACTAGAATGTAGCTGTAACCAGACCAAGGTCGTTGGCATAGGCAGGTAACCATCCTGCCTGCAGAGTCATCTTCCATAGGGGTTTTCCTGCTTCATTCAGGAGGTAGTGCTTTTAGGAAAGGTGAATCCAAGTGTCTGAGCCACCACACTAGGGTCTGGTGCTGTGTCATGGGGAAGCTCCCAAAGACCTGCCTCCTGACCCCACTTTCCGCCAGGGAGCATGGGGAGAATTCACCCTTTGACCACAAGTTTTATAATCTGAGACACCCTCCAATTATCTGAGGCAATTAAGAATGATTACCTTTGAATCAAGGGCAAATCATCTACTAGTTTCCTGCCCAGGGTTTGAGTAGGTGGAACTGTCTGTGAGATATCCCGTCTTCAATGGAATAAAAGTGCTCTAAATATCTTCATTGAAGTGGTCTGCTGTGTCACTAAGGCATGGAGGTCTGACTGTATCCTACCACCCTACACTGTGTTTTCATAGGTTACCTTTTCTTCCTGGTGATGATCGGGTGTCCTAGAACTAGTGCCATGGGTCTTGGCCCACTGGGCTCCCTGGTCCACCTGACCACCCACCACCTGGTCTGCAGTCCTTGGCCATTCCTGGAAGCTCTGCCTTCCTCTGGGTCCTCTCTGTGGAGATAATTAAGTTTCAGCATTTATATCACTGAGACACAGGCTAGAACTTTGTCTTGTAAATTTTTTACCTGACAGAATAAGTAACACTTGCTATTGGATATAGAGTTCCTGAGTCTTGTCTATGCTTAGTCTATCTCTGTTCACACTCCCTCCGCCCATAGAAACAGACATCTCCTAGGTTTTAGGTAAGTTACTGAGTCCACAGTAGGAATCCATCAAGGGCATTTTATCCGGAAGCACTGTCAGTCTTCAGAATTACCTGGAGGACTTGTTGAAACAGAGTTGGGCCCCAGAATGTTTACTTCTAACAAGTTCCCAAGTGATCCTGCTGTGGCCGATCCCAGACCACACTTTGAGAACCACTGGCCTACACCATAAATTCTTTGCTTTCTTTCCTCCCTTCCTAGATATGCCTCTCCCTGAAACCTCCAGAGCAAGAGAGGAAGAAGTTAGGGCTGTGCTGGTTGGTGAAAGACTTACAGGAGAACTGAAGTAAACAGAAGAACTTGAATAACCTATCAGAGTTATTACTTGAACCCTTTCCCAGAAAATACAATTTATTTTTTTCTCCATGAATTAGCCTTTTAAAATATCTATTACAAAGAATTTTTACCTCAAAAAAGGCAACCTTTTATCTTTATAATAGCACCTAAACCTAATTCTCCTTTTTGATGAGAATTAAGAATGTTTTCTTTTTCAAATTCAAATACACATAATTGACATACAACATTATATTAGTTTCAGGTATACAACATCATGACCCAATACTTGTATACATTACAAAGTGATCACAACCGTGAATCTAGTTAATATCCATCACCACACAGTTAGTTTTTTTCTTATGAAGAGAATTTTTAAGATCTACTCTCTTGACAACTTTCAAACATACAATACAATATTAACTATAGTCCCTAATGCTGTACATTGCATCCCCAGTACTTATTATCTTGTAACTGGGAGCTTGTACCTTTTAATCACCTTCATGTTTCCTTCTTATTCTGGATTCATCTGTCCTTTACCATCAAATAACTGAGAGCCTACTATGTGCCAAGGACTAATAGTGATTAAGTGGTTTATATGCATTATGTGAAAGGTTCTTCCCAACAATTTTGCAATGTATAGGTTATTAGTTCAGTTTTATGTAAGAGCAGACTGAGGGTCTTTTGGTTGCCCCAAGCTGCAGAGCTAGTCATAAGTAGCATAGGGATTCAAATCCAGGCCTGATCCCAGAGATCAGGCTGTACTGCCTTAGATTGTGTTATATTTTCTATAATACTCTATCTGTTACATGGTACTATAATCAATTACAAAAGGAGTGATTTGTTACATTTTAAACAATTATTCTGCAATTCATCCATTCATTCATTATATTTATTAAGCACATACCATGTGCCATGCACAATTGCTAGGTATGGGGAATACACTGGTATACAAGATAGAACTTTTCAAAATACATTTACCAGAATATTCTATGAAATTTTATTTTTGTTTGTTCTTTGATTAAAATTGTTCAGAAAAGTGCAAGTCATTAAACCCGGAATTGCATTCTTCCTTCCTTTACTTCTAGCAAATCTCCTATTGACTTTCTATAAACTCAGTTTAACAAATTTGTTTCATATTTTTCTTAAAAAAGGTGCATGTATTAATTTTTAAAATATTTTTATTATTTGAATGGATAATACATTTATATAACTCAAAATTTAAAAGAAACAAAGGATATATAGTAAAATTTAATCTTGCTTTCACTCAGTACTCCCAGTCCTCCCAATATCTCCCCAGGGGCAACCACATTAAATGTATATGTTGTTCTCTTCCCTTCCTTTTTTTGTTTATTAGCACAAATAGTTTTCACTATCTACAAAGTGTTCTCTACTTTTCGTTGATATATCTTGAAGATCATGTCAAGTCAATCAATCAAATAGCTACCTTGCTCTTTTTCACAGATGCATAGTAATAATTTTAAAATATAACATATAATATTTTTAACTAGACCCTGTTAATGAACATATAACATGGTCTAGTACATTACTATTATAAACAATTTCATAATAACTCCTCTCATGTGAATATCAATTTACACATGAGCAAATCAACCTGTAAGATAATTTTCCTGTAAAGGGAAATGGTGGGTTAAGGGCAAATAGTATGTGTATTTATAATTTTAAAATGCTCATTGTGGAATTTTCCAAGCCTTATGAAAGGCACTAGACTAGTATAATGAACCTCACATACCTAACACCCAGCTTCAACATTTAACATTAATCCATGGCAGATACTATATATATATAGAACATATACATACATGCACATATATATATAGACACATAGTGTGTGTCTGTGTGTGTATCCAATCCATCCCTTGCAACTCAAATTATTTTGAAGCAACCCCAGACATAATGTTACTTCACTGGTGAACAATTGGTATTACTTCTGCAAAGTAAGAACTTAAACAATGTGTCTGCGTAACTTAATTATGACATCTAAAATAAATAATAGTTTATTAATTTATTAATGCCTGATTGTTTCATGAAAATTCATTTTTTAAATAGTCTTTTCTTAGGTCTACCCATTCACTGCAGTTTGTTAAGTCTTTTTTTAATCTTTTGGTTTCCTCCTCCATCTCTCTCCTCCTTTCTTTCTTCTATGACATTATTGTAGAAACTGGATAAATTTGCTTCCACAGTCTGGATTTTGTTAATTACATCCTCACAGGTTCATTTAATATGGTTTTCTATCCTTTAGGTCAAAGGTGAAATACAAAATTAAATTGCAGAATTTCTTAAAATAATAATAAAGAAAATACAACATATCAGAATATATATGGCACAGTTAAAGCAGTTATTAAAAGATTTATAGAACTAAATGACTATATTAATAAAAAATAAAATGAAAACAAATGAATTAAAAACACAAGTGAGAAAACTAAATAAAGTTAGCCAAAAGAAAGAAGATAAATGCAGAAAATGTTTCAATAATTTTTAAAGTTGTTTTTTTAGACTTACCATTTGAAAATTAGATCATTTTGTAATTTTCAGCTATACAGACAACAAATCTACATATTGTCAGAGAGAAAGGCATTTCTACACACACTTTGTTCTGAATTTCAAGATAATGGCTTGCTTTGGCTGTGAGTGGGAATTCAGATTAGAAGACCATACTTCCCATCTTGGTGAGAAGCTGAGGGGTTCAGGAAAGGAAAGGGAGAGGGAGGGCTGGATTCACCACACCCAGTTCTGTCTGGGTTTCTGTCTTAGCCTTCTGGAGGGCACTGAAGTGACCCATGGGATGAGGGGCATTTCATTTCCTGTGAGATCCTTGCATGCTTTTGCTATCTGACAGACTCTGGTTCAAATCTCAACTGGCATAAAGATTGCCCCCAGGCTCTGAGCAAATCTCTGTGGCGTGGTCCTAGCATAAAATGCCTTGCCTCAAAAGGGTGAGGATCAAATACGATACCACTGAGAGCTAGTACTCAGTAAGTGGGAGCTAATATGGTGGCTCTCAAGTTCTGTGACTGCACGGAGGCCCACTGGAGAGCCTCTGAACTATCTAGCCAGTGAGTGTCAACCAAGAGAGAACAATCAAGTAGTTTTTCCTTCTCCGAGGTCCACGGAGCCTTCTCAGGCTTCGGCCTGCCTCTCATTTCAGGCAGGTCCTTAAGTCGCCTCCGCGGCGTCCCAGGGCCCTCGCCCAACACTCAACCCTTTGAGCCATCGACAGAGGGTAAACCTGGCGTCACCCAGTCGGTCACAGACCCCGAGGGAACGAAGGAAAAGCCCAAAGGTAACAAAGACCTCAGTCCGGGGCTGGCACACAGAGACCAGGAAAGCGAGGGCGCTCCCCCGGCGCCCGCACCCGTCGCAGGCGCGCGCCGAGCGTCTGGGAGGCGTGTGTCTTTCTCCTTATATGGTCAAATGACACACCGGCTCGCCGGGGCGGGAGGTTGCGTTCCACTCAGCAGGCTGTAGAGCTGCATCCTAGAGCAGCTGCTGCTGCCAACGGGGACCTCCGTCCTGCCCGTTCGAGAGCGCCTGCCAGACTCGCGGTGAGTGCCACGGTCCCGGCCGCCGGGAAGGAGACGGGCTTCACCCGCACAGCTTGGGGACGGGGAAGCCAAGCCGTGGGAGAGACCCCGGACAGGGGAGCCGAGCGGTTGGAGAAGATTCGGGAAGAGGGAAGCTGACAGCAGTGGGGAGGCCTGGGGGGTACTGTAGGCCGGAGGGACCCCCGCCCCATACTCAGAGGGAGGACTGCAGTCCGCGTCTAGGCCAGATGGGTCATCGCTGGGTGGCCAAGCAGGGGCTGTGCCACCCATGAGCAAGCCCTGGGCAAAACCTAGCCAAGGGTCCCAGCATGGGGACGTGATTGTTCTTCCACCTCTAAGACCTTGACTCTGGCCCCCATCTGTCTGTGCAGGGTGTCCGAACCTTTTCGTTTAGCAGAAAGAAGTGGAGTTTGCGGTGTGAGCTCATGGCATTAACTCATGCAGAAATTAAAAAACTAAACCACTGCGTTTAACAAAATGGGGTACTTTAAACGAAAAAAAAAATTCTCATCTTAAGTTGCACTTGTTTGATATCTTAGCGTACCTGGCATTGCCGACAGAGATTGTTAAATGTTGTTTCCCATTTTAAATGAAGAACAATCATATTCACTTTCAAATCCCAACGTGGGTTTCTATCCCAAGGAGTGGAGCCAGGTTAAACGAAAGGCACACAGCTGCCTTCCATGGCTGCACTCCCTTGCATTTACCTACCTTGGACATGAATCACAGTGTGGGTTTATAATTAGGAGACAGTGTTCAAAACAAAAGACCAGATCCTTTTGGCATCTTCAGCACTGCTCCTTCTTACCCAGGCTTTGCAGTAATATGTTAGAGGGAGGACTTTGCTATGCTGAAGGGAATTTTAGACCAAAAACACTTGAGGCAAGTCTTAGAAGTACAGGGACTTCTGGTTGGACAATTAAATTTCCACAGAACCAAACTTAATGAAGAACATTACATTGTACATTTATATAAAATGTTTTTCACCATGTTTTCCAGATTTAGCTGATCCTGAATTTTTAAGGGTTATCAATGAAGGTCTAGAATTGGGTTCCCACAGTGTTTATTAGTGTTTAAAGTTGTGCTTTAAAATGCTTTCACTCAGCAGCATGTTGATAAGGACTAAGTTGGCTAACTGAGGACTGGACACTGTTCTAGGCAATTGTGTCCACAGTTTCATTTAATATGCACAAATATGCCAGAAGGCAGGTGTGATGGGCTAGTGGGCGTGCATACACTGGAGCTAGGCTGCCCAAGTCCCTGTCCCGGTCCCTCATCCACAAGCTGTGCAACCTTAACTAAGTCACCAAATCTCTCCATGCCTCAGTTTCTTCAACTGGAAAACAGATATGATAGTGTCTTTCTCGCAGAGCTGTTATCAAGCCTGAACATCGTAAGTGGTATATACCTACTTGGTACTGTCCTCATTTTTACAGATAAACTGAAGCACAAAGGGATTAAAGTAACTTTTACTGAAGGTTTTCCAGTCTTTAAATGGTGGTCCTGAGATCTGACCACAGATAGCTTAACTCCAGAGCCTGAGTTCTAACCACTGAACTATTGAGAGCACACCTGATATTTCATTGTATACTTTAACCCAAGATTGCTTGTTAAGTCATTTCCTGTATTGAAAAGAATCTAACTTGCAAATTAAAATACCCATTAGGATATTTGAAAAAACTCGAGTGGGGCTCAGAAGGACTGGGTTCTATTCCTGCTCACACCAAGAGTCAGTTGCCCAGCCTCTGGGACTCAGGCTGCCTCATTTATCAGCAACGGGGGCTGGAATAGGAAAGTTTCTGTCTGACTCAGATGCCCTGAGATACAAAGTTCCTTGCGCTTGGGTAAACAAAAAGAGATATTGAATACTTCCTGTAGTTTTATTACGAGAATTTTACAAAGCCCATTTATCATGTGGAATTACACTGAGAGGCCACTTCCTCCATCTTGAACAAAATACCTGGGCTCTTCTCAAGTGGGCAAAAGCCTGCTCTTCCAGGAAGCCAAGCTGGCAATGTGATTTTGGGTTTAGTCAAGTGAATGGGCTCTGCTGTTTTAAATTATGGATTTGGACTTTAGCCCCTGCAACGGTTAATTGTATGTCAACTTGACTGGGCCATGGAGTACCCAGACACAAATGTTATTTCTGGGTGTGTTTGTGAGGGTGTTTCTACAGTTGATTAGCATTGCAATCAATAGACTGATTAAAGCCAATTGTCCTTGTCATTGTGGGTGGGTCCCATCCAATCAGTTGAAGACCTGGATATAACGTTGAGGCTGAGCAAGAGGGAACTTCGCGTGTCTGACCGCATAGCTGGGCCATGGTCCTTTTCAGCGTTCAGCCTTGGACTGAACAATCAGTTCTTCTTGAGCCTGCTGGCTTTCGAACTAGAATTTACACCATCAGTGTTCCTGGTTCTCAGGCTTTCAGACGCATGTATATTGATTCTTCTACTGATTCTGTTCTCACTCTCACTTTTGTAAGATTCCATCACACCTTTGCTACTGGTGGTCTTGATTTCCTTTTTGCTGTAAATATGGTTGTCCTCTTGGAGATCTAATGAGAGGTTTGGGGCAGCGTTTGTTCTCTCCACCATTAGCCCAGTTCTCATGGCCTGGCCTGAAATTGGACGTCACATGTTATCACATTTGTCCTCGGCCTTCATAATCCATACCTTTACTGCCCTGCTTTAGCCTGTGACTTAAAGATTTCCTTTAGGCTTATGGTACCAAGTGAGGCAAGTGATGTCTGTGCCCAGTAAGAGGAGCAGCTGCCTTGTTTCAGTGGGTTAATAAAATTTATGTCAGAGGGCATCCTTGAAGTCTGTAAATATTTAGGTTTTTAGTCAGAAAGAAAATAGATCTGTCTATATCTGATGATACAGCTTTTGGAATGAATAAGGCTTACTTGTGCAAGCAATCGTGACAAGATTCTGTGCAGTGTGCTAGTGAAAACACCATGAAGCGGCAGGGGGACAGAATAAGGAGGCCAGTCTTTCATGAAATTGAGGGTTACCAAAGGAAAAGGCCAGTCGGGGGTCATAATGGATTGAAGACCAGTCAGACTGAGTGGAGCAAAAGAACAAGCTGCCTGTGGGAGATTGGAGGAGACTGTGAAAGAGAGTGAACACATAACTAACTTGCTCCCATGTTCCCAGGAAGGCAGTGGTGGAGCTGTAGGGTGGGCTCTCTCCTTAAGCCCCCAACAATGAGATGATTTATGAACCTGAGGCAACCCTCCATTCTAGCCTGCATAATTATGCTTGTCCAGCATCGGCTGAACTGGCATGTTTTGCTATTAAATTACAAGATGGTATCTTAAAGGTGATTTAAATTCTTTAGGATTAGAACTGGACTGGAACTCTTTCAGAAATTGTATGTCTTATCTCAGTCTCCCACTACGTAAGACAGTATGTGGAAAACCATGGTTACTTCATATATTCTTATCGATGGAATTTAAAAGTTTGTAGGACATTAAAACAAGTGTCACTGTTTGTACATTTATAGACTTAAGATCATAAACTTGACATTTATTATTTTCCCATTTCTTTTCATTATTCCATATTTAAAAGTTTATTTGGAAGATAGCAGTATTCAATCATTGTCTCTCATGCAAAACATTTCTTTATCAGAGACAAACCAAGATTTTTTTTTTTGGAAAGTTACTGGTTTACATATCAAATTGTAATATACCCCTGACCCCTGCTCATAGGTGTATGCTCAGTACAGTTTCATTCAGTTGATCGATAAATATATCTTATCGCTGTAGGTATAGTCAATCCTATACTTCACCAATAATCTAAAAATCAGTTTCAAGGAAATTCTAGGTACATTGTTATATTTTTAAAAATAGCAACAACTCTCAAACTGGCCCCCCTCTCACTTTCACCAGAATTTTTGTTTAAAAGAAAGAGTTCGGCTAGACTAATGAAGAATGTTGAGGGTGAGGATCTTTGCTTTATGGGAACACTGTGTCTATAGAAGGCCCAAGGCCTTTCACTAATACCAGGAGCCTATGTCAGATAGCGTAGCGCCTTCTTAGCAGACATGCTTGGAAGTGTCTCCTCCCTGGCTTTTGTGTCTTGACTTAACCTGGCCTCATCCTGGACTATGCAGCTAGCTGTGTGTTCACACGGATTTAGAGAGCAAAAACAATGAGGAGAGTTCTCACTGCTGTGGAAGCAGCACTTATGTGGAAGAGGGAAAGAGGCCAGTGATGGAAGAGGAGGAATGAAGCTCAGGATCTACTACATTAGAATGTTCAATGGCATCAGATCCCAAAGAACATTACATTGGTTTGCTGTGCAAAGTGAATTATTCTCTAAAGACATTCCTCATTTTTATTCTTGATTTTTGCCCATGTTTGTCTTCTGGGATATTTGTATTCATTCATTTGTCCATCCACTTGTTCACTCATTCTATGAGTATTTATGAAGTACCTGACCCTGTGTCTGTCACCTGACGGTGAGGCCACAATGATACATAGGGCCCACCTTCACAGCACTTATGCCTTGGACACAGGCAGTCACACAGTGTCATGCGGTGTCATGAAAGCACTGTATTTTTAAATCCATATCTAAAAAGAGCCACATGCGACAGACTGATTTTCTTAATTCTATCTAAAAAACTCTGCCTGATTGTTGATAAGGAATGGAATTTCCTAGCTGGGTCCCTGGTGGCATTTAAAGATGGCCATGGCTTTATCAGGACTGACTTCCCGAAGCTTCTGGTGTTGGGGGAAGGGTTTGGGTATATTCACAGGTTTCTCTTTAGGAATTGACTGTTAGAGGAGTCTCCTAAATCACAGTTGATCTGGAAAAACTCTTGGGTTTGGAAGAGAAGGAAGGAAATGTCATCTTTTGGGTTAGAGCAAAGTAGGTAGTTGAAGAAAAAGAGCATTGGAAAGGAGGCTTAACTGAGTCTTTTTTTGGTGAATCTGGCCATGTTGGATCAAGGTGGCCAAAACAGGTCTCCCATGTGGGAAGGATGGGGCAAACTCCTGAAATCCACCCTCCTGGCCCCCTCCTTTGATACTCAAGAAATCTTTCTGATCAAAACAAATGGACAAGCATCCTGACTCTCAACATCCTCACCTCTCTTCCTTCATCTTCTTACCACCTCTCTCTACTTCCCTTACTGTCTTTTTATGTTCCTTCTCCCTTCTTCTTCATGTTTCTCTTTTCTCTTCCTAGATCTGACAATTTTCCCTCTCAAACTTTGTTTTACAGTATTTAAATCTGAGAAAAAAATCAATCACATTTAAAATCTGTAGACCTTTAAGCAGTAATTATTTCCCAGGAGTTGGGCCCTGTGCATCTTTTCCCCATTGCTCTCTGAACCTGTTATTCTTGCATCTGACTGAACACTGGGCTGACAGAGACTGGGATCAGAGAGCTCTCCAGATCATGGGGCTGCCAGCCCATGTGCAGTTAGTTTGGCCTGGAGCCAAGCCTGTTTCCTAAGATCCAGCTTTTTCAAGTACCCTGGTTGTTCAGAGCCCAAGGGGAAAAGAAGGGATGAAAACTCCAGGACACTGTAATTTGGACTTGATTCAATGAACTAACAAGTCAGCAGTCACAGCTTTTGCTTGGATGGCTTCTTGCATACTATTCCTTATTCCTGTCAGTATTTCTGTGTCCTGGATAATGGCCAGGAATGATAGACATGTAACCTGTTAGGAGGGAGGTCGAGATTGAGAGAGGTCAGTGATTATACCCAACTAGGTTATAACAACCCTTTCAGAGCCAAGATGTCTGATTTTTATCTGTAAAATCAATTCAGAAATGGACTCTGACACCCTGAAAACATATTAAAAGAGTCATTGCCCTTCAGTCTGTCTCCCCCAACCTTACCTAGCAATCAATGTCTGGCTTCTACACAGTCAACTTACAGTGGGACCTTCCTGTGTCCCCTCCATACTCATGCAGGTTTTCGGGAGCTAACATGCTAAAACCTGTTGCCTATGGGTACATCCGTGTTTGTGATCAAGGCCACAGACCTTCCTTTTCTGGGCCTTTGACTATCTTTTCAGCTTCATCATTGCTATTTTTAAACTAATCCCACTCACTCCCATCATCTTGGGGTGTCTATGCATTCTTCCGTTTCTTACCCCCATCCCTCTGTCTCCTGGCCTGCAGTATCCGCTGGATAACCTCTTCCAACACAGGGAATGTCTCCTGCAGGAAGCCTGCCCTGCTCTCCCAGGAGGGGTGGCTCAGGGCTCCTCCCTTGGGTGCCCATAGTGCCCTGTGTGTCTTCCTTCACTGTCCTGAGCAGGGAGACTTATAGTCTGAGATATAGATATAGATAGATATAGATGTAGATATAGACATATTTTTTTCCTTTACTAGACTACAGGTTCCTTTAGGGAGGGCCTATGTCTTATTCATCTTTGTCTCTCCAGCACTTTACATAATTTCTGACACCCAGTTTCAGCTTAACTGATGCTTCTTGAATGAATGAATAATCAGGTGCTTTATGGGATTTAAAAATGGAAAGTTGCGAGGCAACTCAGTTGGTTAAGAGTGTCGTCCTGACATGCCAAGGTTGCGGGTTCGATGTTTGAGTCCCAGTCAGGACATGTACAAGAATCAACCAATAAATCATAAATAAGTGGAACAACAAATCAGTGTTTCTCTCTCTTTCTCTTTCCCTCCCTCCCCTCTCTCTAAAATCAATAAATACATTTTTAAAAAAATTTTAAATGGAAAGTCACAGGGGGCTTCTAATACAGGGCTGTAGATAAATTTTCCCCATTAACAAGAAGCTTAAGATTGATCATGTAAACTTGAGTATGCAAAATATTTGATCTGGTAGCATTTGATCAGGCGAGAACTGGTTTTAAACACTTTCGTGATAAAAGGGAAGCTCTTAGTTTTCTCATTAGCTTATGGGCTACTTACTTTTGACTCTCCGGGTTCATGCTTCATAGAATTGTCTAAAGAGCTGCAAGACGACCTTCTCAGATAAAGTATATCCTGCCCTGTTCCTAATTAATGATGGGTGCTCACCCTACACTTCACCTTTTGGTTTAAGCAGAAGTGTTCTTCTAATCATTGAGATCATAGTAACTTCTTAGAGAAGATAATGAGCTAGGAAGGAGAGAGGTCCACCATCGTCAGGAAAAAATCTACAGAAAGGGGACCTGAACCACTGGGCCAACTGCCTCATCCCAGTTGGACCTTCTGAGCAGGTGGCAGCCTTACTATTCCTGTTGGGAGTCAGAATCAGTGATGATGACGTTGTCTCAGGATAGCCTCAATCACACTTTGAACAGATATGAAGCCCCCTTTTGTGTGCCCAGAGTTGACTCCCTTCAATTATTTATCTCCTAGTCCTGTGCAGTTGGAGGAGGTAAGCAAATACACAACAGGTGTATAAGCATCATGGCCATTGCCTTAGATGAAAGAAGGTTCACCCCTTTCACTGGCTTGAGAATATAAACATAGTACTCCAGAAAGATAAGTGGTCCAGTCTGTAGACTATTTCTTTTCCCAACAGGGCCTGTGCTTGTCCAAACCCACATGGAACCACCTTACAATTTAGATCGGGAGTTTGCCATGTGAAAACTCATGTGAATCTTCTTTTTTCATTAATATTTGGGAAAACTCATCAGAATCCTCTTTTTTCAATAATATTCCTTGGATCCAAGTTTTCCATCCATGAAGTGGGGTAGTTGTCATAGAAAATCTTGGGAGTTGTTTCCAGGTTTTAAAATTCCACAATTTATCATTCTGTCTTTTTTCATTGTTTTTATTTCAGATTCTCAAGTCATTATTCTTATATATGTGTGAACAGAATGGGTCATAAACCTCTGGTTCCACAGATAAATGGCAGCCTTGATTGGGAAAATACATATGTTGAAAGGATACTATTCAACTGTAATGACATAAATGTCCAGTGGGATCTCCCTGTGAAGGTTCATATCCTACTCACAGCACAAAAGAAAGAAAGAAAGAAAGAAAGAAAGGTCACTTCAAGGCCAATAACTGAAGAATTACAGGAAAGCATTGAGCCTTCTGCCAGCATAGCTGCTGCAAACTGCGATGGCTTCAGTATGAAAGATATTTATACTTTGGGTCTCAGAATAATAATGCAAATGCTTGAGAGCCCTATCTTGTGATCTTATCACAAGAATGTCCAGACAATGTTTTCTTTAACTCCAAGAAAAGAGATTTAGAAGGCTGGATCTTGCCACATGTGTCCAGCTGCATGTTTAATACTGGAAAAAACTTTAATAAATGTGGAAATAACCAAGTCTAGATGCTTGAACATTGTTCATTCCTTTGCTTACAGTTGTCAAGACCTTGTATATACAACAGTACAAAGTTAATAAACAGTATCGAATTCGCTGTTATCATGAAACAGGCAACAATACTTTATTTGCTTCAAAGGGTATTATTCTGGATTTTCACCCTTAAATGGTTTGAAATGATGGAATATTGAACCAAGTTTAATTAGAGTTCATGAAACATTGCTCAGAGTTACACAGTCAGTCCACATATTTAACAATTTATAAACTTCTTACTTTTCACAAATTAAATATTGCCACTTGAGAATATATTTGTGAAGAATATCTACTCTGTTTTTAATGTCCTGAAGGTGTTTCTCCACACCAAGTATTTCCACAGTAGACTCTTTCATTCTGGGAGAGTTCTAACATGTGTATGGGAATGGCACATGAGGATGAGGTAAGGTAAAAGCCTCCTCTTACCGCCTTCTTCCCCCTCCCTGCTCCCCTCTGCTCATGCACACTCTATGCTAACCCTGGAAAAATGTAGTGTGACTGGCATGGAGATGCATTCCTGTTCCTTTTTGAAAGCCTGGAGGTATCGCCTGGAGATACTGCCTGGAGAGGCCATAGCTTTCCTGCTGTGTGCTAATCCCTGTTCTTGGAAGCCAGCCTTTCCCTGGATACTTGGGCAGTGGAAGGATGATCTTTTCATCTGGGAGAAATGAGTTGCCCGAGGAATGTGTGGCACTTTTTCTTGTGCAAGAGCAGATTGTGCTTCCCAATGCAATGTCAAGGTCAAGGGTTGTGCCACTATGGTTTCTTAATATTCAAATTTACGAGTCCATAAAGGGGAGCTCATAGAAACTCTTCACAGAAATTAATGTATAAACGGTAATGGAAAAAAATACAATAAAAATAAATTTAAATGTAAAAAAAGAAAAGATTAAGTGTGTTTTTGTAGTCTCCTTTCTAGTTTGGGGGAAGGAGAAAGGGAAGACGTAGGCCCTGTGACACATTTGAAGCATATGTGTGAGGGCTCTAATGCCAGTTCTTGTATCCAAAACTTAGGTAGCTTTTTCTGACACAGTCAACAACATTTGGGACTTTTATAATCATGGAATGCAGTCAAATGCAAAACTACCCCCAACTAATTTTTTGAAAAGGTATTGAAAATTATGACTATGGCAAGGGTGGGTTTCAACTCTTCACCCAGAGGAGAGGGCCACCCCTTTGCTAGAGGTGACACTGATAGATAGCAGGACAGCTAATGCGTCAGCATGCATGGCATTCACAGAGTGTCCACTGGGACATGTATTTTCTTGTCTTTTGAACAGGCTGTTGAAAAACTAGGTGTCAAAATGACCGAACGCTTTGACTGCCACCATTGCGAAGAATCTCTCTTTGGCAAGAAGTACATCCTGAGGGAGGAGAGCCCCTATTGCCTGACCTGCTTCGAGGCCCTTTATGCCAGCACATGTGAGGAGTGCCGGAAGCCCATTGGCTGTGACTGCAAGGTACCCCCACACCTTCCCCGAGCAGTGCCCCATAACTCCTGGACCTGTCCTGCTCCCCAAGAATTATAGGCTTCTCTGTGTGGTTGTGCTGAAGTCCTGCTCTTCATCACCTATTGATTCCTTCTCTTGGTTCCCCCACACTGATGGGCATGGACCCTTCCAGAAGTGTTACTGAGCTCTTCCCTCTTTTCGGTTGGTATCTAACCACTCCTGATTCCATAACACTTGCTTTCCCAGGAGCAAGTGTTTTTGCTCAGCATCCTAAGTACAGTTCTTACATTCTAGTTATTCGTGTCCTTATCTCACATTCACTCCAGCTCCCAATGCTGCAGCTGCTTGAGGGCCACGCTCTCTCGCTCCTGTTTGCTCCATGCTGACTCAGGAGGAGCAGGTGCTGCTCTATAAATATTTGATGAACAAATGTGCACGTGAGTGAGACAGAGCTGATGCCCAGATAGATAGATACATAAAAGCAGGAAATTCATTGGCCTATAAGGCACTCTTCTCTCTTTAGTGGCAGAAAGTCAGGACCTGCAAGACAGCTGCTGAAACACATGTGACAAACACTAGGTGACTGTCATCGTGAGAGCCACAGACTTGGTACAAAATGGGGTTTGAAATCTCCAGAGGAATTCTCAGATTAATGGACTTTAAGGCAATTTATGGCATTTCACTTTTTTCTGCTTTCACTCCTTTGTCCTCTTTTGGGATTTTGTCACTCTCTTCCATTGTTTTAAATATCAATATATAACTGCTGACTGACTGACAATTCTAACAGACCCAATGCACATTTCTTATATTTCTTTATTTTATCATATCATTCCTAGGAAAAGCAGTAAGCTACAGGATGTACTATCAGTTTCTGTTGCTAGGTATTTAGTGACAGTTGAGGAATAATTTCTATCTTACGTGGAAAGAGGCCTTTGTCCTGAGCGAAGACAAAGACTGTGCAACATGGGCCACTAGAGGCCACCCTGGGCTGTGTATCTTTTGGCATCAAAATTGGATTGGCATGCCAAGTGTCAAAGAAATGAAATTCAGAAGTTGTCTTGTGTAAACTTTAAAAGGTTCAGCAGCCTGGCCACCATGAGCAGAAAGTAGCTGATCTTGCTAGTCTAGAAGTTGAATACCTTTTTATCTCCAGCTTTTTCTGAGGGTCTCTCCCTGTACCTAACAGGTATTCTTAATTCCTCTTCGTTTATTGACTAGGCCAAGCATAAGAGCTCAGATGCCATAGTGCCCAGCTCCAGTCCTTGTTCTGTGGCTCACTAGCTGTGTGAACTTGGGCCAACTACTTGACCCCTCTGTATGTGCTTTCACATTTCTAAAATGGAGGTAAAACAAAGGAGCCTACTTCATCAGGTTATGGTTTACAGATTCATAGCCCTGCTTGCTGTAAATGGCAGCTAATGGTATCACTATAAACTTCAAACTTCCACTTTCCTTTCAACTACTTCCCTGTTCTTTCCCTAACACATTCCCTGCACACACCTCGTGGAAGCTTTGCCCTCTCTCTTTATCAGTGTTCATTATAAAAACATCAATAAAAAATGTCTGGTTTCAGGAAGAACTAATAGGCAGAGGAAAAAAATATTATTTTATAAAAGCTTTACCTGGGCAAGAAGTAGGTACAAGGTTCAGCTATTATTCTGACCAAAAAAAAAAAACTAGTTTAAAGGAAACATTTTGGATATTTGGAGCTAGTCATCCTTGACTGGTGACTAATGTAAAAACAAAACAAAAGTCACTTACCATTTCTCCAACATGATTTAGTGGAAAGACACTTGAACCTCGTTATCCTTCAGCACGTACTTTATGAGCAAACACAAGAATCCTCCAAATGTGGCCAAAATCAACATGACTGCTGCAAAGTCAAGAGTTAATCATGCTGAACTTTTCAACCCAGATTAACGGTTTATTATATGTGGAGTTATGCCATGTGATTTTTTACATTTTAGAAGAAAAAAAGATGTTGACTTGAATTTAGATCTTGACATTTGGTGCTTTTGAATATTTGGAATGGTGTTCTTGACATTCAGAAATAATTATGTAGTTAACTTTGTGGAGAAAGCAATGGTAGAAAAAAATTTTTCTGTTACTTCAGGAAGTAAAGTCAAAGGCAGAGTGCTCAAGGGAGCAACTGAGCTGGCAGATCTGGTAGGCATTCTCTTTTCTTAAAATAGTGTAGGCCCCATGAGCTCACTTAACTCTCCCTCTGATGGATATGTGTGTGTGTATAATTTTAAAATATTGCCAAGCCTATGCCCTGGCTGGGTGGCTCAGTTGGCTGGGGCATCGTCCTGTACATCAAAAGGTTGTGGGTTTCATTCCCCGGTCAGGGCACACGCCTAGGTTGCGGTTCGATCTCTGGTTGGGGCATGAACAGGAGGCAATTGGTCGATGTTTCTCTCCTTCTAAAATCAATGATAATTTAAAAAATCCTCACTTGAGGATTAAAAAAGTAAAATACTGGCCAGCCTATGGGATTTAGGCTAATTTTGTGGGTATTGACTGCCTTTTAAATGAGATACATAAGACTTCAGGGCCTGTGGCTATAATTAGATTACATATGTTTGAATATCACTTCTATGCAGTCACTCAGTTATATTCTTTACTTCTATTTAGTTACTCTGAAGAAGCGCTGAGATCTCAAAGGGTAAAAACCATTTATTTTTGTGGCTAGTGGATTACTTTAGAACAGGTACTGCAAGTAAAATTTTACGATCCTCCAACATTATGCTGTTCCTGTGGATACTAGCAAAAAATGTTTTTAGCCTCGTTATAGATTTTTTTGTGGATGGGTTTATCTACCTATGTTCTGGACTTCAAAAATTCAAGAAATTAAAGAAAAGATAGGCTGGCCAATGGTTCCAGAGGTAGCTGAAGTACCATGCATTTATCAAATCAGTTACTTTAACAAACTCTAGGCCATATGCCCAGCTCAAACTTTGAATTTTCCATGTCTGTGCGAGCCGGGTCATGAAGTCAGATAGGCCACCTGACCCATCCAGGTGCCCCAGGAGAAGAGGAAGAAATAGTAATGAATGAAAATCCATCTGTGGATGTAAAACTAGTATTCAGGGTTAGCTTCCAACAGTTGTCTTAAAATATACCCAAACTGAGCCACTGTTTTTTGTCCAGACACTGGGAAAATGCATTAATTGCAAGATCTAAACTTCCCATAAAACCTCAGAGAGAGGGGCTTTTTTCATTCCATTTTATGGCGAAACCACTGAGGCTGAGAGGGGTTGGGGTATTGCTGGGTTACAGGGTTGGGAGGCACTTGAATTAGAATTAAAACCCAAGTGGGATTGTCCCTGACCCACCTGCTGCATTCTGCCTGTCCTGCGCAGCCTCAGATGGGACATCTGGTCAGGTGCAGATTGGACTAGTGGTCAGTCCTGTGAGTCAGAGCTGTCTGCCTTGCTTCCATCAGTGACCTGAGCAAAAGGCTCCTGCCTTTCTCCTGGGGACCCTCAGATGGCAATGACTATGCTGCAGAAATGATACTCAATTTGTTTCTGGAACACTCTTTCCAGCTTCCTAGTTAGTTGAATGGGAAACATTGAATTGACTATCAGATTGGCATGAGTCTACCCATTAAACTATAAAAATTTCTCATTTAAAATTTGGAAAATTCTTAAAGGACAGAAAACTTCTGAGGCCTTTTGAAGGAAAGCAGACAGGAGAATGAAACAGGAGACTACGGTGTTTTTTGTTTACATGTCCAGGTTAAACCTAGATGGCTCTGTTACACTTTTAGAGGATTCCTGACTGAAGCTTAGGAAGGGTAAGGTCAGACTGAGAAAACCATCCTTCCTACCCCCCGACCAGGACACAGGCCTCCCCTGATGGGCCTCTCTGTGCTGTTCTTTTGGGAAGAGCAGCTATGCCAGATACATTCCCATAGTCCAGCTTGCCATCCTGGCTCCTTTTATTTTGTCGAGGTAATTTTTAAGTGCTTAATGAGTGAATCACCTTTTTTTAGAGTTTTTATGGAATTTGTTCATGGATCTTGTAATGAACACTAAAAGTATTTATATTTACTTAGACATCCTCCTCTAAAAGAAAAATCTGAAGGACATTGAGTAAAGCAGGATCCTCAGGATTGGGAACATAGCTGACCACATAGGTAATATAAGGACCTCTCAGTTCATGAAAACCATAGGGTCACCTGTGAGGCACACCCAGCAAGGTACACAGCATTCTGCAGTGACATTGTGCACACTGAGGTGGGACTTGAGCCACCTACAACTTGGTTCCCATGTCTGAAAACAGGATTGCTTATCTCAGGGGAGTCGACTGTTAACATAGATGGAACAGTCCTCCACAGAGGATGTACTTCAGGTTCTGCCATCATCTGTTCCTCTAGACCTTTGTTTTTAAGGACTTGAAGGAATATGCCATTGAAAACCTGATAACCTGACAATCTGAAAGCCTAGGTCATCTTTGCAAAGTGCTGAGCATGGCTGACACTGAGAATCCATTTATAAAGTAGAATCTTGTGGGTGTTAGGAGTGGTTGCTTTGGGAAATTAGCACCTGAACATCTGCCAGCCCAGGTGGACTGGTGTGTGAGGGAGGAGTGGGTGCCAGCAACCAGCCAGCTTCTGGCCGGAGCCACCCTGCCACCTAGAGCCACCTGCAGTGAGCTGAGGGATCGAAGGGTCCCTCCGGGACACTTTACCCATGGCTCAGCTCTTAAAGTCTCAAGAAAGACTCATTCAGGGCCAAGCCACAAGCACTTCCTTATTAGGAATGTTTCTGAAATGGAAAAATGTAAAATCTGACAGGAAGTCTTTGGGCCTAATCTTATTCTGTTTATCAACATTTTACTGTAATTTATGACATCTCTCTGAGCACAAGGTTAACCTTGGTATGTTTTCTGAGATATATAAAAGATTCTTTTCTTCTTCTTCGCCCTCTCTCTGGAAGACCTTAAAACCAGGATATTTTTAGGAAATTTTTAAGTTTTTGAAAGTCTGTCAGCAAAATCCGTAC